GTTGTTCCCAGTTCCCACCTCCGGGAAGCAAGAACCATTAGTCAAGGGGATTACCAAATTCTCTTCAACCCTCCTCAGCTCACTTCTGGCCTAGTCTGACTGAAGCAAAGCTCCCTCCTTTGGCTTTTCCCGCAGCCTTCGCCAGGGATACAGAGCTAGCCCAGGGAGCAGAAACATTCCTCAGGGCTACATCCGAAGCAGTGGTCCTAATCTCTACACACCAGAACCTTGACTGTGTGTGTGGGAGAGGGGTGGCTTACAGAACCATTGTGTGTGGGCCTCGATCTCTGACTAAATTATGTGAGGGAGTGAGGCAGAGGTGTGAGTACCTCAACGGCTTGTACAAGCTTCCACATGATTCTGAGGTGAAGCTGAGGTAGGAGATCCAGATCACACATCCTTCTCTCCTGGAAGGGAGCAACCTAACGCTCACCATAACCATGCTGTTGGACCCTGCGCCAGGCTGTTTCACTCCGGGCACCTCAGAGGGGGCGGTGGTGAGAGCCCTCCCGGCCCCAAGGGACACATCCCCGGCAGCCAAAATCCTCCAGAATTCAACCGCCGCCCTGCTCATGACTGCTCCCCACACGCTTGGGCAGAGCCTCACCCATGAGCAAACCTTTCCCTGGACACCTCATAGGACACAGCCTACCCATAATCCAAGAGTCCCGCACCACATTTGATGGGGTTCAAAGTAGAAGGCAACCAACCTTAGAGAGCAATATTATATTATTTCGGTTCTGCTTTGGGACAGAGATTGGGGTTCAGGTTGGAAACACCCAAAATATGGTGGTGGGAAGGTGTAGTGGTGGTGGGATTAGTGTTTGAAAATGAAATGTAATTAAATATGGTGAATTACTTTATAAAATTAAAAAATAAAAAGCTGAGGTGGGAACTGCCCTCTCAGAACAAAATCACATAAGGGGACCTGAGAGCTTGTGTGAACTGTCAGGGATCCCAAGGTTTGAAAGAATACAAACAAATATGTCCTCACATAAACACACAGAGAACTTTCTTGACTTGGACAGAAACTGTGTCTGGATAAACCCATCAGAACTAGAGAAGAGAGTCAATGCCCACCTTAAGCACACTCTGATTCCTCACAGCAGCCGACAGTCAGGAAAAACCATTCACAAAGATGATTTTACCCCAAAGTGTCGGTTAGGTCGTGGAATGGGGAAACAACTGTATAGAGAGTGAAAGACAGTCTGCGGGTTGTTGAGCGTGTGGCTGATGGGGAATCAGAGCCCAGTACCATGGTCCTGCTCACTGCTAGTCCAAGAAAAGACCAGATGCATGGTGTCATGGCTCTCTGGGCTAGTAAAACAAGTTACCACAGACCATGTGGCTTAACCAACACACATTCTTCACAGCTCTGGCAGCTAAGACGTCCAATATGGAAGCGTCAGGAGACACAGGGTGAGATGGGGGCCCGCTTCCTGACTTGCAGGTGGCCAACTTCCTGTCACAGCCTCCCAGACTTAGGGGAAGCCCAAGGAGGAGGCTGGCTCTTATGTCTCTTCTTATGAGGACAGAGCCAGAGTTCTTATCTCCTAATACCTTCCCCTGGGGATTCCCACATATGGATTGGAGGCGGGAGGGGGGGAGGAAGAGGGGGGCATGCATGTGAATGTTCAGTCCATTGCACAAAGTTTGAGATCTCCGATGTGGTTCAACTCTGTGAGACAGTCCTCCTGAATTTGAAGCTCTCCACCTCCCAGGCACTTAGTGGGTAGAAGGGCACTTCCCCCACCACCCCCACTTTGTAGCAGGGAGGAGCAATGGACTAATCTGGCCAGTGGGCATTGGGCAGTGATGAAGTACATTCCTTTCGTGGCTAGAGTGTTCAATTATCCAGGTGACACTCTCCTGCCCCCCAGAACGCTTCCCTGGAGCAAGACCAACAATGCTTCAGTTCAGAGAGTAGCAGTGCCTGACCCCCAGCTCTCTGAGTAACAATGGCCATTTGTTGATCTCAGCTGACTTGCTGTGTAGCTATGGCTGAAAGGAGAAATAAGACCAGACTCAAGCAAGCTTCCCAAACCTCACCTTGAATGAAAATAAAAATATCTTCTAAACAAAAACTTCTTGGACTTGAGAGAGGAATAGACCAAACTCTGGCTCTCTGGCTAGCTGTGGGACAGCAGCATACAGGAGCTTTAATTCCCTCTAGCCCCAACTTTGTGGACTAGTAGACATCAAGGCCCCTTAGAGTTTCCTGATGATGGTTCAACATTAATTTTCTCTTCTTAGTGCATCTTTCCAGGACACACAGGTGCCAAGCCTGCCTCTACCCGTACTTCCCTTGCCCTCTTAACAATTCCCCAAGTTTGGCTCAGGCACCCACCCATTGCCAACGAAGCTCAGATCCTTTGGAAGGAAACCATAGCAATTCCTTCTTCCAAAATGGATCCAACCAGCTCATTCTATGCACCGCCCACTTTCCATTCACCGTGCTTGAAAAATTCTGTTCTGTTTTGTTTGGGGGCCACACCCAACGGTGCTCAGGGATTTCTCCTGCCTCTGCACTCAGGGATCACTCCTGGTAGGGGTCAGGGGATAATACATGGTGCCAGTGGTGTAACCTGGGTCAGCTGTGTGCAAGGCAAGTGCCCTCCCTGCTGTGCTCTCTCTCCCATGCTGTGCTGTTAGAGCAATGCTGATCTAAGCAATCCCCATTGTACCTCAGGGCTCTAGTCTGGGTTTAAGGACACTCAGGCTGCCAGAGAGGGTCAAATTTCCCTGTATTTTCCTTTCTCCCCAAACAGTTCCATCCTCCGTCCTTCACGTCCTACCCTCTCCCCAATACTTGCCCTTACACCTCCCCCCACCCACTAGAAAACACAGCCTGGTTCCCACTGAGACTCCTCACCCATCTTTATTTTATGTTAATTAAACAGCCTAATGCAACCATGAGATTCAGGCTTACAATGCAGGAGATGTGGGGTGAGGGGACCTGCCTGACTTCAGGAGGCAGCAGGCAGGCAGACTTGGAAGTATTTTCTTGGACTTTCTGATTAAAGCAGCAACGACAACAGCAAAACAGGAGACAATCAAGGTTCCAGCAAACACTGAGGGCAGACAGCTGCTCATCTTCCTGAAAAGTAACACTCACCAAAGCAGGGCTGATAACTTCACGTTGTTCTGGCAAGTAACAGTTACAAAAACAATACTTTCCCAAAAGTTTGAGGATTTGTGCACAGCAGAAATCCATGCCAGTGCAATGTGGTAGCTTCGTGTGACATTCACGCCTATGGAGACCTTTGTCGTGAGAGCCCCGTCGTATGCTGACATTGGGTGACCTTCATTTCTCTGACCAGCTTTGACAGTCATTGATGAATTCTGTTCCAATGTAGCACACTGGCAGTTCCCAACACTCTATACATGCTTTTTCTTTTTTTCTTTTTTGGGCCAGACCGAGCAGTGCTCAGGGGCTACTCCTAGCTCTGCACTCAGGAGTTACTCCTAGTGGTGTTTGGGGGACCATATGGCATTCTGGGGATTGAACCTGGGTTTGGTCACATGCAAGGCAAATGCCCTACCAGCTGTACTGTTGCTCCAGCCCCTACACCTGCTTTTCTTACCAAGGATTTGTAGCCTGTGTCTTTTGTTCCATAATAATGAGGTCATCATTTCAGGGCTAGGAGGAGGGATCTAATTTGGGGGGAGGGTATCCATATGTGAGGCAGAAACATGGAAGAGGCCAGGACCCCTTCCAGCAGTGCAAAACCTACTGCAAATATCCTTCTGTGGGATGAGGTTTTCCTTAAAAGGCACATGCCCATAGGTTCAGGTCCTCCTCCAGGGACCCTCCGTCATAGCTTTCTCTAAAGGATCATTTATTTCTTTTGGAGGGGATATACCTGGCAGTTCTCAGAGCTTTCTCCTGGTTTTATGCTCAGAAGTCACTCCTGGTGGGCTCGGGGGATTGTATGGCGTGCTGGGACTCAAACCCAGGCCTGCAAGGCAAACGCCGTACTGGAAGTACTATTGCTCTGGGCTCACTGCACCCTTTTTGACCATCATTTCCTGCACCCATGGGCAACCACCAGCCCCTAATTACCTTCCTACCCAGACCTCCCGGCAGTCTCTTCCCCAGACCTTATTTCTCTGAAACCCGGCATCTGTGGTGTGCTAGACAATAGAAATATTGGGGTCTTTCTCCCCCAGTTCTCATCTCACAGGGCTTCTAATACCCTTGGAAAGGCCTGAGTGACAGGAGCCTCTTTTATTATTCAGAATAAGCCCCTTTCACAGCGGGAATAGAGAAGGGGTCAACTAAGTCAATGATGGTTGGAGGAATCTTTCGAGATGGAAGACGTGTGCTGAAAGTAGATAAAGGACCAAACGTGATAGCCTCTCAGTATCTGAATTGCAAACCATAGTACCCCAAAGTAGATAGAGAGTATGGGGGAAATTGTTTGCCACGGAGGCAGGGGGAGGCCTGGGATAGGGTGGATACTGGGGACATTGGTGATGGGAAAGCTACACTGATGGAGGGATGGGTGTTTGATCATTGTATGACTGTAACTCAAACAGGAAAACTTTGTAACTGTATCTCACGGTGATTCAATACTAAAACAAAAAGAATAAGGCTGGGGTGGGGGGAAGAATAAGCCTCTTTGGACCAGTCCTGTTTATGCTAATAGTGGGCTCCAGAGGAGAGCTCTCCATGGGAGCCAGGCCCTCACTGAGTGATTTCAGGGTTGGAATATGCCCCCAGCAGCCTCACTCTATGACTGGCATACTCTTGCAAGATGGCAGTGAAACCCATAGGTCCAACTCACAAGAAGGTGGTCTCCGAGGTGACCACCCTTTTTTCTGGGGGATTGGGTTGGGCCATAGCCTGCAATGTACTGCCCTCTTTCTGGCTTTGTGTTCAGGGGTCATTCCTGGTGGTGCCCAGGGTACGATAGGCAGTACTGCAGGATTGAGCTGGAATGGGCTGCATGCAAGGCAAGCACCTGAGCCCTGGAAGATCTCCCCGACCTTGTTGCCTCTCAAGGGACCCTCGAGAGTTCTGTGTCGCAGGAAGGGCTACCATTTCCGTGCAGAATCCCCAGGCAGCTTGGGGCAGGCTGCAGGACAGCCCCGTTGCTGACGGTCAGTGGGGAGTCTTTGGCCCCGTGGTACTGGAGTCCTTTCTTTTTCAGCTCGGAAGTCAAATTGGAGTAATAGACTTCTTCCAAGGACCGATCGTTTTTCTGGAGGATGTTGCTGGCCAGCCGGAAGAGGAAGATCACACCGTAGATGCCAAAGATGGTGAGGATGTACCAGGCCGCGCTGGTTCCGTCAGGGATCTTCAGGGCCCTGGAGGAGTTGGTGCTGGTCCTCCCCTCCAGGGGTGCCTTCAGCAGCTGTCCCAGGACAGTGCTGGCCTGGGTCTGGTTGGGGGCTCCCTGAGTAATTTGCCTGATCCCTGAGAAAGAGAGAGAACCTGTGAGACCTGACCTTGGATCAGGCAGCAACATAAGACTTTCTTCTTCTTTTTTTTATTTCTTAAATTGAATCACCATGAGATGCAGTTACAAAGCTTCTATGTTTGAGTTACAGTTATACAATGATCGAACGCCCATTCCTCTACCAGTGCACATTTTCCACCAGTAATCTCCCCAGTAAACCTCCCCCCATTCCAATCCTCCCCCTGCCTCTATGGCAGACAATTTCCCCCATACTCTCTCTCTACTTTGGGGCATGTTGGTTTGCAACACAGATACTGAGAGGCTATCACGTTTGGTCCTTTATCAACTTTCAGCACACATCTCCCATCCCGAGTGATCCGTTCAACCATCATTGACTTAGTGATCCCTTCTCTATCCTAGCTCCTTCTCCCCCAGCTCATGAGGCAGGCTTCCAACCATGGAGCAATATTCCTGGCCCTTGTTCTACTGTCTTTGGGTGCATATGACTTTTTTTCTATCAGAGGGTTACATGGGACTATTGAGACTATTCAGTGGACAGGCGCCTGGCAACTCCGTGGCAAGATTTGCCCTGCGGCCCAGAAAGCTGGCAGTGGTTTGGTGCCCACACATTGTGATAGATGCTGCCTGACCCTAACACTTGGCTCCTCCCATAGGTCAGACCAGAGGTGGGCATGCTTTTCTGAGTGGGTGGTTGTGAACGTGGTGGTTGCCAGTTCATCTCCCAAAATCATATCCCATCAGATCCACAAACTGGCCTCTTATACAGAATTCCCACTCGGGCAGCTTGGCTACCCCAGCCACATTAGGCCAATAGTACTCTAGCGCCTATTCCCATCAACATCCCCCCCCAAAAAAACCCACAAAAGTAACAGAGAATGAAAGAAACAATACAACCCTAATCAAAGAGTGAAAGTAAGTTCAGACCAAAGAATACATTCCCTGAATCAGTGCAAGAGGCTCCACACAAATTCACAGGAACACCAAACTGGAAGGGAACGTCCTTGGTGGGGAGAAAAGAGACAACCACACAATGGAATACTATGCTGCTGTTAGGAAAGATGAAGTCATGAAATTTCCTTATAAGTGGATGGTCATGGAGAGTATCATGCTAAGTGAAATGAGTCAGAAAGAAAGGGACAGACATAGAATGACTGCACTCATTTGTGGAACATAAAATAACATAATATGAGTCTGACACCCAAGGACAGTAGACACAAGGGCCAGGAATATTGCTTTATGGTTGGAAACCTGCCTCATGGGCTGGGAAGAAGGCAGTGTGAATAGAAAAGGGATCAATAAGTCAATGATTGTTGGAGGGATGGGATGGCAGAGGTGTGCTAAAAGTAGATAAAGGACCAAACAGGATAGTCTCTCAATATCTGTATTGCGAACCATAATGCCCAAAAGTAGAGAGAGAGAGTATGCGGGTAATTGTCTGCCATAGAGGCAGGGTTGGGGTGAGATGGGGCGTGGGATACTGGGGACATTGGTGGAGGAAAATGTGTACTGGTGGAGGGATGGGTGTACGATCATTGTTATGACTGAAATTCAAAAATGAAAGCTTTCTAACTGTGTCTCATGGTGATTCAATTTAAAAGAGAAGAGACCAATGAAAAAACGAAGAGATCACCACCTACCAAGCTCCCCCATTGTCCTCCCTGGGAGTGTGTGTGTGGGGGGGGACACTAATAGTATATTGGAAGGGGTCACCCCCAGACGACCACAGGCACTATGGGGAAACAGCACAGAACCTCACCATGAGGAGCGGAGGAAGCTAGGAACCCTGAAACCTCAACATGAATGCCCACACACATAACCACTCTGACAAATAATTCAAAGACAAAATGATAAGGATATTTAATGAGCTCAAAGAAACACTGGAATGGACGTCCAATAAAATACAGGAGGATATGACAGAAATGGCTGACTGTGTAATGGCTGACTGTCCACTGACAAACAATATATATAGCAATTTTGGGAAAAAAATAAAAAAGTTCAAAACATCTTTTTGTTGTTGGGTTTGTCAACAATTTTTTAAAATTTTTATTAGTGAAACACCATAAGGTACAGTTGTAGACTTACAAATTTTTGTGCTTGGATTTCAATTATACAATGATCAAATACCCATCCCTCCACCAGTGCCCATTTTCCACCACTACAGGTCCCAGTATTCCTCCCATCCCCCCATCCTACCCTGCCTCTGTGGCAGGGCATTCCTTTTTGTTCTCTCTCTCCTTTTGGGTGTTGTGGTTTGCAAAAGAGGCATTGAGTGGCAATCATGGTTGGTCTATAGTCTACTTTTAGCATGCTTCTCCCATTCTGGGAGGATCCTCCCAACATTCTTTATTTGGTGCTCTCTTCTCTATCTGAGCTCTCTTTTCTCCTAGCATGTGTGGCTGGCCTTGAAGCCATGGAGCAGACCTCCTGATACTAATCTCGGCCACTCTTGGGTGTTAGTCTCCTACTTCTGACTGGGAGACTCAGACTATCATTGTCCCTAAAATAGCTTATGCAACTGATATCATTCCATTGAAAATGTCAGTAGGATTATTCTGTGAAATACACATACTTTCCATATTGAAAAGCTACTGTCAAGGCTAATCATGAAAAATCGGAGAAAAACATTGGATGTGTAGAAGTTGGCTTAGTCAGAAATTTAAAACTAGCTAATGAGAAAAAATTGCATTTTGGGGAATGAATGAGTGAATACTTTATTTGCCCATATCTCTTCGAGGTTTACTGGGCTTTGCAAAGAATGTGTGTGTGAGACTTGGGGGCTCTCCAGAGCTAGGTACTAATCTCCTTAAAATGTATCCCTATAAGCTCACAACGGCTACAACAGTATGATGTTGAAACAGAGTAAAAAGCTTTTTAATAGGGAAGGAATTGGAGCTTGGGAGAAAATAAAGGAAATATATCTGATCAGTAGGGGAAAGATTGATTATAAGAAGCATTTGACCAATATAGGTTGGACTCATATTTCTCACCTTTCATACTAAAAGTTTCGATATTTAAATGATTTGACATCAAAAACGTAAGCGATTTATAGAACCAGAATAATTAGTAGTAGAGTTTATCATTTAACCTGTTATAATGGAACATTTTTTTCTAAGCATACAAGAGCAATTCAGAGAAAATTAACTACATAAAAAAATCAATGTTATATGTAGGACTAAAGCCTCAGACAAATTGGAAGAATATTGCAAATTTATATCACTAAACCTCTCAACTGACCTCCAGTTCTGTCCAAAAGATTTAAAATACCAGTAGGAGGGGACTGGAGCGATAGTATAGTGGGCAGGGCATTTGCCTTGCATGTGGCCTATCCGGGTTCAATCCCCAGCATCCCACATGGTCTCCTGAGCAGTGCCCGGAGTAATTCCTGAGTGCAGACACTGGAGCAACCCCTGAGTATTGCTGGGTGTGACCCGAAAAGCAAAAAAAAAAAAAATACCAGTGGGAAAATTTATAAAGGAGATGGGCAATAAAATCTTAGGAGAAACTGACCTTAAACATTAAAAAAAGGAAAACTTCTTCATATCACTCAGTGAGAAAAATGCAAATTAGATTCACAACAAATTTGAAAGTTCATGATGTTTCAGAATACGTCCTATGGGCATGTTTGTAAACTTATCAAATGGATCACTCAGGGATCTGGGAGTTAGGCCAAGGGACTGGTACTATTAGGTACCATTAGACCCTGAGTTCAATTCCCAGTACTCACAGACCTCCAAGCATAACTGTGGCTCTAGCACCAATGAACACATGTTATATTGCATTCCCAGATCCCACCATTGACCCATCAGGCCTAGTTAGCTAAGTATTGCTAGTGGTCCCCTGTGTTCTCTGATCACTACTTTTGAGGCCTTCCCCCTACTCCCCCCCACTGTGTCACTGTATCACTGTATCACTGCCATCCCATTGTTCATCGATTTACTCAAGCAGGCACCAGTAACATATCCATTCATCCCAGCCCTGAGATTTTAGCAGCCTCTCCTTACTCGTCTTTCCCAATGATTGGAGGCTCTTTCAGGGTCAGGGGAATGAGATCTGTTATTGTTACTGTTTTTGGCATATTGAATACGCCACGAGTAGCTTGCCAGTTTCTGCCATGTGGGAGGGATACTCTTGGTAGCTTGACGGGCTCTTCGAGAGGCATATATATACATTTCCCCCTATGATTTGTTGCCTACTGTCTGAACCCCATCAAATATGGCATGTTAATTAAGGAAAATGGGTAGGGAGTGTCTTATGATGTGTCCAGGAATATGTTCACTCATGGATGAGGCTCAGTCCGAGCGTGTGGAAAGTGGTCTGGAGTGTGGCGGTGGTTGGGTAGTGGAGGTTGGCTGCTGGGGCTGGGTTTCTTGGGGTGGAGAGGGCTTTCATTTGACCCCCTCTGGGGCGCCCTGAGTGAAAACAACCTGGCACAGAGTCCACCCCACCACACACACACACACAAAAAAAAACAAGAATAAAAACAGGTCACTCATAAGAAGCAAAACTGATTAATAAGTCTACACCCCTGTTGGTGAAATGGTTCTAGAAATTATAGTAAGGAAAGGGGGGAATTCCCAAATGATTAAAAAAGAAAATCAAGTCAATATGAACATCCTACAGCTTAATTAAGACAAAGTAATATATTTGTTCTGCTTACTTGCTGGTGGTGATATAATTTTGTAATGTAAATATGGAGGTCATGTTGAACATCATAAATACACTTAGCTTGGATCCACTGAGTCTGTCTGCAGGAATTTCTCAAAAACTGAAGCCGTAGGCAATGCATGTGTGAGGTTAGTTATTGCAGGGCTGCGTGTGTGATGGCTAATGCACAAGAAAAGCCTGCATAGCTTTTGGGGGCAGGGGTTAAGAAATTTTAGCACCTCATGACATCTGCACCTATATTTTCATTGCAGCATTGTTCACAATAGCCAGAATCTGGAAACAACCCAAGTGCCTGAGAACAGATGACTGGTGAAAGAAACTTTGGTACGTCTACACAGTGGAATACTATGCAGCTGTTAGGAGACATGAAATCATGAAATTTGCTTATAAGTGGATAGACATGGAAGAGTATCATGCTAAGTGAAATCAGTCAGAAACAGAGGGACAGACATAGAAGGACTGCACTCATTTGTGGAGTATAAAATAACATAACATGAGACTGACACCCAAGGACAGTCGACACAAGGGCCAGGAATGTTGCTCCATAGTTGGAAGCCTGCCTCATGAGCATGGGGAGAAGGCAGCTGGAATAGAGAAGGGATCACTAAGTCAATGAGGGTTGGAGGGATCCGTCTGGATAGGAGATGTGTGCTGAAAGTAGGAAAAGGACGAAACATGATAACCTCTCAGTATCTGTATTGTAAACTATAGTGCCCCAAAGTCGGGAGATAGTACGGGGGTAATTGTCTGCCGTGGAGGCGGGGGGGTGGGAAGAAGGGGGAGTATACTGAGGAAATTGGTGTTGGAGAATGGGCACTGGTGGAGGGATGGGTGTTTGGTCATTTTATGATTGTAACGCAAACATGAAAGCTTGTAACTATCTCATGGTGATTCAATAAAATTTAAAAAATATAAAAATAAAATAAGTTTTAGCACCTCCAAACAGGAAAATACTATGGAGTCACAAAAAAATGGCAAAGAGTTGGGATAGGTTGGGGGGAAGGGAATAAATATGAAGAAATGAAAACATGAGTCAGTCATGATAATTGTATGTGATACTACAGCTATAAGGCAGGAGAGTCTGTTCTTTGCTTGAAGCTTCTACATGTCCTAACTAGAACAATGCTAAAGGGCTGCCCATGGAGAAAAGATTTCAGTGAGGAGATGTACTTTCACCCCCTGTCCCTTTGTATGTTTTGTACCATATGTGTTTATTTTCATAAAGAGAGCATGACTTCTACCCAGCACGTCCCTGGGCCCCTTGGGGAAGGGCCTCAGCAAAGCCGGTGCATGCCCTTCTAGCACCAGGAGATTGAGATCTTAATTACTGTTTAGTTCAAAATTGTTTTTTCTACTAGTAAGTCAGGTGGAAAAGGTATGCTGACAGTCACTGAGGCATTGTCAAGTAGATTTTAGCTACTTCAAATTCCTTTCTGTACTTATTCATCTAGCCGTAGTCTAAGACAGGCTGCAGGGACAATCCCAGAGCCCCAGAGCCTGCCAGTAGCCTCAGCGCTCAATAACTTCTTTCTAGTTAACAGGTATTTAATGCAAATCCATTTTGCAAGTGAAATGGTGGTGGTGGTGCCATGGTGTGTGTGTGTGTCTGTGTGTGTGTCTGTGTGTGTGTCTGTGTGTGTGTGTGTCTGTGTGTGTGTCTGTGTATTTACAAATTATAGTTATTTGTCAAAATGAGTAAATAATCTGAACTTTTTTTTTCTTGTTTTGGAACCATACTAGCAGTTTTCAGGATCTAATCCCAGCTCTGTACTTGGGTGTCATTCCCAGACGTGAACAAGGGTGTATGTGGTGTCAGGATTTGAACCCAGGCCTCACCCATGTAAACTATGCACTCAGCACATGGAGCTCTCTTTCTAGTCCATGAACTTTCAAAGGAAAGTAATTAAAAACCACCTGTGATAAAACCAGTGCTCACATATTTAGTTGAAACAAGCAGTTTGTTCACAAGCATAAATCAGCAATAA